AGTCAAATGCCTTAGGCACTATGCCACCAGATCTCCAGGTCTGCATTAGGGAGATGATTTTTGGAATCACTGTCATAGAGCTATCTGAAGCTGTAGGACAAGATGATTCATATAAGAATAGAAAAGTAAAAAGAGAAAAAGGCCTTAAAGAACTTTAATATTCACTGGCCTGGTAGCAAGGAATGAACTTGCAAAGAAGCTTGATAAATGGGGCCAAAAAAAAAGGAAGGGAAAGAAATCAAACACAGTGTCTTATATGTTAAAGAAAAACAGTGTTTTAAGGAGGAGGTAGTACAGGGGATTTTGTTAGGTATTAAATGTAGTGAAAAGAGATCTATGAGCACTAACCTGAAAGGCTATCTATAAACTTCAGCAAAGAACTTACAGACAAAAGACTCTTGGCTAGACCAATTCCTCAGAAGGAATTAAATTAAGGATTAAATTAGAGACTGAAACCTTTTTCAGATTAGCATGACTCCATTTTTCAAAAAAAGTAATTCACATTTTCTGGAAGGATATACATATATATAAAATTGCTAACAACAGCTACCCCTGGGAAGTGAGGGAGAGAACTATTACTACTTTATATTCTGCACATTTTGTATTATTTGCATTTTCTTCAATAAGGATGTGCTGATTTTGTAATTTAAGCCAATGAAACTTTAAAAATCACTTACCTGGCTAATTGTCTTTGTCTCCCTTATTAAATTGAAACACTCAGATGCCTTTGCTTGATAGAACATTCTTAAAAAATATAGCACACTGACTTCTTAAAAACGCTTCTGAGTTTTAAATTGCAGTTAGCTGGAAGAAACACTAAGAGAAGAACTAGCTTGGAGTATGGACAGCTAAGTGGTAAAAGCCTGATGAGTTTACACAATTGGTGGATGACAGATGAATAGCAATAAAACATGGCTAGTGAAAAAGTCTTGGCTAGACCAATTCTTTAAGCATGGTATTAGGAAGAGCAGCTAGGCTCACTCACAGCACATTCATTGGGCTTTCCTGACATCAGAATGTCAGGAAACTTCCTTTGGTTCTTTTTCATTCATTTTCTTATTACTCAAAATATCATCTTTATGCAGAGGACTCCAGCTGCTATCTTTCTTCCAAGATCCAAACCTACATTTCAACTACCTGCTGACTCTCTTCCATTGGCTGACCTGCTAACACTTAAACCCAATATACCCAAACCAAATAATTATTTCCTCTAACAAAATCAGCTTTCTCTACTTCTGTGGATACACATTACCAATCTTCCAGTCATCCAGACTGAAAATCTTGGAGGTGGTAGAGGCAATATTTAAAAGCTCAGGCCTGACTTCAGAGCCATCCCTCTTATTTTCACACTAGAAATTTGAAGACTTATATATCTATCATCTTATTACTACAGATTCCCAGTGAGGAAGACCTAGCTTGCTTTACTTCAAAGTTCAACAGGATTTTATCTCATGTCCTGACACAGATGGATAGGGACAAATTAGTGATTTACACTTGACACATTTGATTCCTTAATTAAAAAAAAAACAATGAATGGTCCATAAAACAAAATCCCCCAAAATGCCAAAAGGAAATATATATGTCTCTCACAAAAATGGGAGCTCTGGTGGTGTAGTGCCTAAGGCATTTGACTGCTAACCAGAAGGCTGGAGGTTCAAACCCACCAGCCACTCCTCGGAAGGAAGACTGGACAATCTACTTCTGTAGAGATACTGCCTTGGAAACGCAAGGAGGGGTCACTATGAGTCAGAATCTACTTGATGGCAGTGAGTTTGGTTTGGCTTTTGGTTTTAGCCACCCATTTAAATCATGCTCTACTACATAGTACTTCCGGTATAAAAGCAAAGTCTGCTCTGATTTATTGTAAAACTGCCCCTAGCTGATTTAAATAACTACTGCCTAGGAGCTCTGGTAGCATAGTGCCTAAGGCACTTGACTGCTAACCAGAAGGCTGGCGGTTCAAACCCACCAGCCACTCCTCGGAAAGGAGGTTGGGCAATCTAGTTCCATAGTGATACTGCCTCAGCAACCCAAGGAGGGGTTGCTATGAGTCGGGGATGACGCAACGGCATGTAACAACAACAACAACAGAAGCTTAAAGACAGAAGCTTAAGGAAAAAAAATAACTAAAACACACAGGCTTCCCCTGATATGGATCTGTGCTGTGCTTAGATACAACACATCATGGCTTCTAATAGAGTTTAGAAGATGATTCTGGTCATATTATATAATACGCTTTTACTTTTATATGCTTATAAAGATTCATAGTTATTATATATTTGTATTTATGATGATTTGAGGATGTAGTTTACTTTCTTTATAATGTTGCATTCCTTATTTTACTTCTTCCAGCTGTTTTATTCATTTTTTGAGTATTGTATTGTTTTTCGTGCAAGTTTACAAAGCAAATCAGCAAATCAGTTTCTAATTCAACAATTTATACACTATTTGTTCTGTAACATTGGTTGTTATCCCTGCAATGTGTCAACACACTCCCCATTTCTGTAACTCCAGTTTCCCTGCTCCTCCTTGCCTTTTCACCCTTCCTTTTGGCAAATGTTGCCTGTTTATCCTTGCATAGTTGATTGTTCTAAGGAGCACATTCCTTGCAGGTGTTACTGTTTATATTATAGGCTAATCTATTATTTGGCTAAAAGGTAACCTCCAGGAGTAGCTTCAGTTCAGGTTAAAAAGGTGTGTTAGGGTAACAGTCTTAGGGATTCCTCCAGTCTTTATTAGTCCAGTAAGTCTGGTCTTTTTATGAACTTGAGTTTTGTTCTCCATTTTTCTTCCTTTCTACATTCTAACCAGAACTTTCTACCATGTCCCTGGTCAGAGCAGTTGTTAGTGGTTAGCTGGGTACCACCTACTTCTTCTGGTCTCAGGCTATACGGGACTAATCGCTTCTTTAAGTCTTTGGTTTCCTTCACTCTCCTTTGCTCCAGATGGGACGAGACCAATAGCTGTATTGTTTTTAAGACCCCAGCTACTACTCACCAAACTAGAATGTATAACATTATCTTTATGAACTATGTTATGCCAACTGACTTAGATCCCCCTTGAGACGATGATCCTTAGGCTTCAAGCCCAGTCATTCAGTTTCATGAGGTGTTCAGATATGTCTAAGAAGTTTCCATAACTGTGCCCTCTATTATATATATGAATATATATGCAGCAATACAAATATGTATACACAAATGTCCACAACTATACCTATAAATGCACATGCATATATTCCCATATGTCTTTGCATACGTATATAGCATACATAACTACCTATATAACCACTCATAAATTTTGGGTTGCTATCACTGTTGTAGTGCCTAAGGCACTTGACTGCTAACCAGAAAGCTGGTGGTTCAAATCCATCAGCCACTCCTTGGAAGGAATTTTGGGGAATCTCTTTCCATAGAGATACTGCCTTGGAAACCCAAGGAAGGGTCACTATGAGTCACATTCAACCTGACAGCAATGAGTTTTGTTTTGTTGTTTTTCAATCACTGTTATGCAGAATTATATGTTATAACATTTACCATAGTTGTCCTTTATTCTTGCATACCTCTTGGTGTCTTCATTTACCTTTGGTCCTGTTGCACTGAGTTTCACCATATTGTATATTGTTCTTCCCTTCACCAGAATTAATATGTGTCTACTATCTAGTAAGTGATTCTCCCTCTCTCCTTCTCCCATCCCTGGTAACAATCAAGGAATGTTCCTTTATGGATGTAAACCTATTCTTGACTTAAAAGTGGTATTATACAAATGAGTCAGTCCCTTTGTGATTCACTTTTTTCATTCAGCACAATGTCCTTTAGATTCATCCACGTTATGTTTTGCAAGCTCATAGTTATTCCTTATCACTGCATAGTATTCCATTGTATGTGATGCACACATTTGCTTATACACACATCCGTTGATAGACACATAGGCTGTTTTCATATTTTTGCTATTGTAAATAACGCTACAATGAACATGGGTGTGCATACATCTATTCGTGCCACTGCTCTTATTTCTCTAGGATATACTAGGAGTGGGATTGCTACATCATATTTTATTCCTATTTCTAGCTTTTTGACGAAGTGTCATTCCATTTTGCACAATGGCTGTACCATTTTACAATTCTACCACCAGTACATAAGAGTTCCAATTTCCCCACAATCTCCCCAGCATTTGGTTTTTTATTTTTTTGATCACTGACATTTTTGCAAGGGTGAGATGGTACCTCATCATAGTTTTGATTTGCATCTCTCTGTTGGCAACTTTTTTTGTGTTTATTACTCATCTGAATGTTTTCTTAGATGACCAATTTTTGATTGAATTGTTTGTCATTTTGTTGTTGAAGTGTTGAAGTTTTCTATGTATGTTAGAGATCAGACCCTTGTAAGATATGTTGTTGCCAAAATTTTTTCCCAAGTCTGTGGGTTCTCATTTTACTCTTTTGGCAAAGTCTTTTGATGAAAATAAATATTTAATTTTTAGAAGGTCCCAGTTATCTGGTTTATCTTTGTTATTTGTATATTTTTAGTGATGTTTATTTATGTCATAGATTAGGAACCCTAGCTTTGTCTCTATGCTATCTTCTAAGAACTAAAAGCTGAGACTTTTAACATGTCAGTGAAGATTTTACTGGAATACTCTACCTATTTTTAACTGTCATAGCAAACAAATAAAAGGCTAATATATATTTTATACACATTAAATTTAATTCCAGAATATTTTAGGATTTGTAGTCTTTCTGCCAGGCAAATAACAATGTTAAAAAACCAAACAAAACACAGAAAAATTCCCAAACACTCAAACTAGCTGAGACAATACTTCTTTCAGTTTGTAAAAAACTAATTGTTATTAAAAACCTCAAATTTCACACATTAATATACCTTTGTGTTTCAGTAATTACAGTTCTTCAAGGCCGTTTCTAACAATATAAAATTGTGACTTGTAAAAAACTCTAATTCCACTGACCATCATAAAGAACAACTTTCAAAACTAGAACTACAAACCTTCTGCTGTAATTCTTTTACTGCAGAATCTCTATCCATGCATGCTTGTCGGAAGGCTTCATAAGCTTTATTGAGCTGTTCGCCAATGTTTTTATCCATTCCTCGGTGTTCTGTAGCATCACTATAAAGGATGGTGTATATGACAGGTCTGGAAAATAATCGGAACAATTTAGAAAGCTATTCAGTTATACAAACTTCATTTGAAGAATGCATTTTAAGGCAATCCTATAAGCTCCCTGGGTGAACAAATGGTTTGCACTTAACTACTGATTTAAAGCTTGGTGTTTGAACCTACCACCAGAAGACCTGGCAACCTGCTTTTGTTAAGATTACAGCCAAGAAAACCCTGTGGAGCAGTTCTGTTCTGTAATGCATGCAGACACCATGAAGTATAATTAACTAAATGGTAATGTTTGTTTTAAAGAAAAGTTTACCATGAACATTATAAACTTGCAGATTTATAAAAGCATTAGTCTTATCTAAAATCTTAACCAAAAATATTGTGAAACTTTAACTTGTATGATTTTTAAAAACATTCTTTACAAATGTGTAAGGAGCAATGGTGCTTCAGTTCATAAAGATGTGACTGTGAAAACCATAATCTATAAATGCAACCTAAAAGTGGAGAAATATAAAAAGTCATCTTATTATTAATGCTTTATTACAGAAATGCACAGCAGGATTAGAAATGTGGGAAGGGATTTCTTTTTACTAAACGGACAGTTACTCCCACTTACAAGGTGAATTCTTGCTACACTGAAATTAGAGCAAAATTAAATAGATAATAAATGTTTGTGGATGAAGTTCACACTGTTGTTATCATAGAGCAATTAAAATGTGTGAAAATGCTCTTATTTTAGCACAAAATCTAGGGAGAGCTGTTGTTCGATTGTACGTTAAAAAAGAAAAATCACATCTCTTTAGTCCTTCCCCCACTCCCTATTAATTTTCCAACCTCCCTGCTGTTTCTGAACTACAGGTAATTTGTTTGGTGGAGCTAATTTGGTTTTATTATCTCAGTTTGCATAACATCTCTAACCACATTCCTTGGGTCTGAGCAGAGGGCCATCTAATGACTCTGATTCTTCCTCTCCAACTGTTAAAACCACAACACAGAACCTTTCTCTTCATCTTCTAAAAGCCACAGAGCAGACAAAGTTCTCTATCAGTCATCGCCATTTTAGAGAGTACAAACTATTTCCCTTCTTTGGATATCACTCATAACTCAGTCCCTAATCTGCTATAGCATCTTCCATTTTATTTATGGGTACAAAATGTTCTTTTAAAAAAATTAGAATTGTTAAATTGAGTATAATTCACATACCATAATATTTATAATTTTAAAGTGTGTATTTCAGTGTTTTTAGTATATTCACCATGCTTGTAATCATCACTACTATTTAATTCCAGAACATTTCCATCTCTACTAACAATTATATACTTATTACCAGTTAGTCCTAATTCTATACTCCTCTCTCCCCTATAAAACATTAATCTGTTTTCTGTCTCTACAGACATACCGATTCTGAACATTTCATGTAAGTGGAATCATTCAATATGTGGCCTTTTATGTCTGGCTTCTTTCACTTAGTATTTTTCAGGTTCCTCCATGTTTTACTGTATTTTTCTGCAAATAGTATGTGTGTGTAAGTAATGTGCACATACATATGACGGGCAGAAATGATAAAACTGTATCAGAAAGTTTTGACATACACACCTACACCTCTACTGTGAATGCCTTAGGACATTTCCAGGAGTGAATTTTGGCCTTATTTACTCTCATTCAAAAGTCTTAAAATGTTACTTTTCATCATATTTGTATAATTCTAGCCCTTACATTTAGATCTTTGATACATTTTGACTTAATTTTTACATGTGGTGTGAAGTGTAGCCCAGATCTATTCTTCTGAATGTGGATATCTATTTGTCCAAGAATTGTTTGTTGAAAAGACTATTCTTTTCCTAATGAATGGCCTGGGCAACTTCAGTGCAGTGAATTATTTAATATGGCCCTTCTAGCCATGATTTTTGTGACCATCAGCTCATAAGTGGGTTGTTGTTGTTGTTATTTACCATTGAGTGGGCCCTGACTCATAGCGGGTGGGCCTATGCAAATAGAGATGCTTGCGGCCCACCAAGAGGATTGGATAGCTTGTTAATAAGGTACATTATCTGACAAGGGACTTATCTCTAGAATTTACAGAAAACTCCAACACCTCAATAACAAAAAGACAAACAATCCAATTAAAAAATGGGCAGAAGAC